GAACAATAGATTGGTGAATTTGATATTAGATTGATTAATTGAACATTAGATTGGTTAATTGGACAACAGATTGGTTAATTTTCATTCCACAGTTACCCACTCACCGTATAGTTTAATGTTTCCTTCTGCATCCCCGAGAGAATTCTTGGCCGAACAGCAGTAGGTTCCGTAGTCTTCCGGTTGAAGATTTCGTATTCGAAGTTTCATTTGACTTTTGTAAGGTCCGTGGGGAACTTCCGTGATATTGTATTTGAAATTAGAGATAACAATGACGTTTTTCTTCTTGGTCCAGTAAGTTACTGATTTGGGATGGGACTCGAGGTTGCAATCTAGGGTGACGTCAGTCCTTGTAGCAGCTCCGACTACTTGATTTGGTACTTCGATTAGAGGAGGAACTGAGAAATAGAAAATGGTTTTCAGTTATTCTAATATCTCTCAGTATACAGAAGTATTAGTTAAAACAGGATTTGATACTGAAGCACATTACTCTTAGCTTGCTCATTATGGGTTAAAATAACTATACAGAGTTTCAGATGAAGTTTTGTTTGTACTTTGGATTTTGTTGCCTAGCAAATCTCAAATAAAATATTTGATCCGGATATTAAGAATAGTTGGAAAATGAATCGGTACCCTTCTCACTGAGTATTCATACTATACAGGTAAGGATCAGGCGTTTAGAATAATCACCAGTATCAATGTGGTGTTTTATCATTCTGTATGTGGTAAGTGTTTAGTGTTATTAACTGTTACAACGTCAATTACACTAAATTACCATGACGATTCTGTTTGTGGTCCAGTAGACCAGTTCTGAAACATTTTCCTGATTCAGAATCATATTTTAGTGAGACACTGATGTTTGTTTCTTTCGAGACACTAATGGTTTTTATTGAGATATTGATGTTTCTTATTGAGACACTGATGTTTCTATTGAGACACTGATGTTTCTTATTGAAACACTGATGTTTCTCATTGAGAGACTGATGTTTCTTATTGAAACATTGATGTTTCTCATTGAGAGACTGATATTTCTTATTGAGACACTGATGTTTCTTATTTATACATTGATGTTTTTTATTGAGACACTGATATTTCTTATTGAAACACTGATATTTCTCATTGAGACATTGATGTTTCTCATTGAGAGACTGATGTTTGTTGAGATGGATACTTGAAAGCTCTGAGTACTCATGCTTTTTTAACGAGATCATCTCTAGAGATGAAACTGAACTCACTTCTGCATTAACGTTGTTTCCGTAAGAAGACACTATTGTTATTGAAACGACTTAATGTTCCTCTAAAGTATTGTAGTTCACACACACACACACATTTATATATAAATCACATACTTTGCTATATTTAACACTTCTTACATGTAAATATAATGTTACAAAACAAGTTGCTTAAATAGTTAGTACTGTCAAGCATGGCGGAAAGGTGTTGTCAAGCAGATATTGTTGAAAAGTAGATAGTGTCGTTAAGTGTATAGATAGTGCTGTTAAGTAGATAGATGGTGTTGTTTAGTAGATACGGTTGACAAGTAGATAGTGTCGTTAAGTATATAGATAGTGTTGTTAAGTACATAGATAGTGTTGTTAAGTAGATAGATAGTGCTGTTAAGTAGATAGATGGTGTTGTTAAGTAGATACGGTTGACAAGTAGATCGTGTCGTTAAGTGTATAGATAGTGCTGTTAAGTAGATAGATGGTGTTGTTAAGTAGATACGGTTGACAAGTAGATAGTGTCGTTAAGTATATAGATAGTGTTGTTAAGTACATAGATAGTGTCGTTAAGTGTATAGATAGTGCTGTTAAGTAGATAGATGGTGTTGTTAAGTAGATACGGTTGACAAGTAGATAGTGTCGTTAAGTATATAGATAGTCTTGTTAAGTAGATAGTGTCGTTAAGTATATAGATATTGTTGTTGACAACACTCTCTACTTGTCAACGGTATCTACTTAACAACACTATCTATATACTTGACAACACTCTCTACTTGTCAACGGTATCTACTTAACAACACTATCTATATACTTAACGACACTATCTACTTAACAAGACTATCTATATACTTAACAACACTATCTATATACTTAACGACACTATCTACTTGTCAACTGTATCTACTTAACAACAATATCTACTTTCTATATACTTGACAACACTCTCTACTTGTCAACGGTATCTACTTAACAACACTATCTATATACTTCTTGTCAACGGTATCTACTTAACAACACTATCTATATACTTGACAACACTAAACAACACTATCTATATACTTGACAGCACTCTCTAAAGTATATAGATAGTGTTGTTAAGTATATAGATAGTGTTGTTAAGTAGATACCGTTGACAAGTAGAGAGTGCTGTCAAGTATATAGATAGTGTTGTTAAGTATATAGATAGTGTCGTTAAGTATATAGATAGTGTTGTTAAGTAGATACCGTTGACAAGTAGAGTGTAGTCGAGATGTTGCTGTCCAGTAGATAGCGTTGTCAACTTGATGTTATCAAGTATCTATTGTCGTCAAGTTGGTAGTGTTGTCAACTTTATATTATGAAGTATATATTTTCATCAAGTTGATAGTGTTGTCAGTAATATGTTGTTTCCCAGCGGGTATTGTTATGAAGTAAATATTGTCGTCAAGCCGATAGTGTCGTCAATAAAATGTTGTCACCAAGCGGATATTATCGTCGAGTTGACAGGGTTTTGAACTCAAAAGCTTTGCATGCTGTACTCCAGTACTACAATCATGTTAACTACGTACAGTCCACTCCAAGCACGATTCGTTTGCTGACGGATGGTTGAACACCATTGGATGCTATACACAGGTAGGCTCCAATGTGATGTCTGTTCACATTCAGAATGCTCAGAGACGATCCAATTACCGAAGTAACTAAAATAGGAGACATATTTATTGACGAACTATTCAGTTTAAATTAAAACATTTAGTAAAATACACAGTATATATCGTACGAGAAAAAGACTTTACCGTGTTTAGTTTCTGACAATTTATGAATAACTCTTAAAGACATGCACACATATACATGAAAATATGGCACCTAAAATATTCGTTATATATCTATCTGTATATATCTCCATCTATCTGTATATATATATCTGTGTTTATCTCTCTGTCTCTTTCTATCTGTCTTTCTCTATCTATCTACCTATCTGTATCAATCAATCAATCTATCTGTCTGTATATATATATCTGTATATATATATATCTGTCTATCTATCTATATACCTGTCTATCTCTCTCTCTATCTCTTTCTATCTGTCTATCTCTATCTGTAAGTTTCGTTAATTTTTTGTTACTTCTAGACAACGGATATAATCTAAAAGGTAATATCAATTAACACACCTTTCATTTATAATTGATATTAATAATAACATTAAGCGCTGATCATGATTTTTTACTCAACATATTTCTAAGTACATAACACCAATGACCAAATCTTTATAGTGGTTTAAATTGAAATATTATATATATCGATATTCAAGTGCCTTTTTAATCTATTTATTGAGATACTTTATGTCTCTTTGACCGAGCAGGGGTCTACTCTTGGATTTACTGAGAAACAATCCTAACCTGGAGCAAGGTTCTACCCGTGTGTTTACTGACAAACACTCCTAATCTCGAGCAGGGGGTCTACTCGTGGGTTTACTGAGAAACACTCCTAATCTCAAGGAGGGTTCTATTCCCTCCTGGGTTTACAGAGAAACACTCCTAATCTCGAGCAGGGGTCCACTTTTGGGTATACTGAAAAATTCCTAACCTGTAGCAGGGTTCTACTCGTGGGTTTACAGAGAAACACTACTCTAAATGAATTAAACCTTCGGTTATTACCCTTTTTGGTCCCAGTAGAGATCTGTTGACCATCTTCTCTTCGCCAGGTTATAGTAGGTTCAGGGGAGCCAGTAGCGACACATTTCAGTGTCACCTCTTCGCCTTCTCTGACCTCGTGATCAGTGCTGGTGTTTCCTTCGTCTATCCTCGGAGGAACTAAAATAGATAATAGTAATGACACCGAAATGGTAGATTAAACTAAGTGGTACTGAAATGGTGGATTAAAGTAAGTGGTACTGAAATGGCAGTACCACTTAGTTTAATCCACCATTTCAGTACCACTTAGTTTAATCAACCATTTCAGTACCACTTAGTTTAATCCACCATTTCAGTACCACTTAGTTTAATCCACCATTTCAGTACCACGTAGTTTAATCCACCATTTCAGTACCACTTAGTTTAATCCACCATTTCAGTACCACTTAGTTTAATCCACCATTTCAGTACCACTTAGTTTAATCCACCATTTCAGTACCACTTAGTTTAATCAACCATTTCAGTACCACTTAGTTTAATCAACCATTTCAGTACCACTTAGTTTAATCCACCATTTCAGTACCATTTACTTTAATACATGGATTAAACTAAGTGGTACTGAAATGGTTTTTCAGTACCACTTAGTTTAATCTGGTTGATTAAATAAGTGGTACTGAAATGGTGGATTAAACTAAGTGGTACTGAAATGGTGGATTAAACTAAGTGGTACTGAAATGGTGGATTAAACTAAGTGGTACTGAAATGGTGGATTAAACTAAGTGGTACTGAAATGGTGGATTAAAGTAAGTGGTACTGGGAAAGAAAATGATTAACATGAGTTGTGAGAAACAAAGACCCTAAGTTATCTAAACACGACGGCAAAGACCCTATGTTAACAAACACGACGGCAAAGATCATAAGTTAACAAACACGATGGCAAAGACCCTAATTTAACAAACACGATGGCAGACAATTTTTTCCTGTTACGTAAAAATTTGAGAGAAAAAATTAAGGTTAGTAACAAAATCAAAGTTTCACTATAATTTAAATATCCCGTGGTTTAACTGAAAACTAGAGAAAAATGTTAATAATAAGGATATAAAAAATGAAAAACGTAATTTACATTTTCATTATTTCTCAGATATAAAACATTAGACAAATGTTTTGATTCAAGTCGATAATATGTCTTGTACTCACAATTTCACAGAATTACGAAAACCACTAGAATAAATCACCACCCACAAGAGTAGAGAAATCTACTATGCTAATCGTCTACTGTTAGAAATAGTCGTAGAAAGCCACGTAGAGACAAAGTACAACAGAAAAGTGGAGATACAATGAAGAACAGCGAACGGGAGAAATGATGAATCCTCAATGTGGCAGTTTTCAATTAATGCGCATCAGCAAAACTATAATCAATAATAATAAGGCTGGAGACATTGTTATGAATATACACATTTTTTACTCTATTATAACGACTATAACGTTTCCAACTATTATAACGATGCTTGAATGGCTTCGAAGAGGTTATGTTAGTAGAGAAAAAGAACTTAGAAAATTTTAGAGAGTGGAAAATCTCGACTTTCAAGAATCGACTTAAAAATAGCCCTACAACCTTC